CCAGAGTATAGGCTCTGGAGCCAAACTCCCTAAATGTGATGCCCGGCTCTGCCACTGAAGAGGTGACTGAAGCAATCTGTGGTTCACTTTTCTCATCTGTGAAATGAAAACAGTAATAATGCATATTGCATAGGTTTTTTGTCGGAATTGGAATTAATGTGGTTGAAGTGCTTCAAACAGTGGTTAGTACAGATGAGGGACTCCATAAATGCAAGCGATTCTACCTTTGTTATTTATTACCCTATGGAAATGGAGCTGTCATTGTTGCTGTCGTTGTTTACCTAGGTGGGAGAGTTTATCAGTCAGCAGGATACTAATAGGAATCTGAGAAATGAATCTTTTAAAAGGCTGGGAATCGGGCCAGTAAAGTAGGTTCAGGAGGCCCTGGGTTCATTCCCCAGGATCAAAATTGAGTCAGTGAGTAAATAAGTAAGTAAATACATGACTAGGAATTCTTGTAGCTCCACAGCAGCCCAGAGTTGAATCAGTTCCAGAAGTGGGGTTAGCAGGGTTTAGCAATGACTGTGGCCTCCTTGATCTTTGATGGACAGGGAGACCCCCAGGAGAGCAACAAGCAGCCTGAACTAGCAGGAGCTATGTTTTGAACACAAGGTGGGAATAACTCTGAAAGGTTTCCCAAGCCGGTAACATGCTCATGGTGAGGCTTGTTCTGTTGTATGTGGCTCCCATCTCAGGAAGAACATATGTCTTTTCAAAGCTATGTCCCAGGCCTAGGGACTGCTCACTAACCTTTAATGAATGAAGTAATTAGCAGAGAATGTCAGCCCACCTTTACTCCTACAAGCATAATGAAGGCACCTGGGGTGGAGGTGTCCTGGGGTCCGAGAGTGAGGACCTGCCACTGGGAAAGGACTGATGGACATATTATATACAAATTCAGCGTTCATTTATATCAGTTCACCAGACTTGGAATCAATCTACTAGGGTTCCATTGAAAGGCACTTGGGTGCGCCAAGTCTGTGGAGGGAGGATAGGATTTTATAATTTGATAGCACCGAGGCAGGAGGACCTGTGGGTGTGGATGGGAGAGGGGTGGTGACCACTCTACAGGCCAAGCAATTTTGCTAACGTCTTGGAACACCTGTCAGCTTTCTGGGGCTAGCACCAGGGTTCCCCTGCAGACCTCTTATGCATTTGAAAAGATCCATTTAAGGTCGCAAGGCCATGTGGGAGGATGCTAAAAGGCAAGATTTCTGAAAACAGGACCACACCCTACCAGGTACTGGGCTTCAGGGTCCTGGGCTGTGGGAAAGGAGTGGGCTGTCGCTCTGCAGCTCTTTTGCTGGGAAAGAGTCTTGGTCTGAAAGAACCAGCACCAGCTGAGGGGCACTGCACAGATGCCTAGGAAGAAGAGTTTCTGGGGAGAAGGAAGCCAGGGGCATAGATACTGCATGCAAATAAATTTAGAAGCAACCAGCGAAGGGGATGCAGTCACCAGATGCCTGCCTCTCTCTCTTTGCTTAAGCCACCAGGTCACTGTCAAGCTTCCAGAGCTGGGCTGGTGACAGGGATGTCTCTGGTGATCTGGTGACCAGGAGAGGGCAGTGTGACCATGCCGAATCCCTTGAATTCAACAAAGGGCTGGCCAAGAAAGGAGGATAAAAGGCCCAGCCAGCTGCGTGTGTGTTTAAGACCAGCAAGCAGAAACCCTCCAGGGCCCTGGAAGGGAACCATAACCACAGGCTTCCACGGTAGCCCACCACCTCGCACTTAGCAGGGCTTCCTGACCTTCCGGGCTCTACGATATTTTTTTTTGTGGTCTAGAGAAGTTCTCTGTGCACTTGAAAAAGCAGAAAATGAAAGACGGAACACTACAAAGGAATACCTAATGAGATCAACTTGCAAACTAGCTATGTGTGTGCTTCTGTATGAGTGCATTAGCCGACAGGATCTAGCAGGGACCTTACTGAACACCGTAATTTAGAATGATGGATGAGCATCAGTGATACTGGGAAGTAGCTGCAACATCCGTAGTTCCAGGACCATCTATGATTTCTCTTGGGGACAAAGTCACGGGGATTAATAATGCTACTGTCATTTCATATATATATATATATATATATATATATATATATATATATATATTTTTTTTTTTTTTTTTTTTTTTTTTTTTTTTGTAGTACTGGGGATTGAACTCAGGGCCTTTGCACTGAGCTACATCTCTAGTCTTTTTAAAGTTTGGAGACGAGTTCCTGCTATGTTGCTAAGTTAGTCAGGCTGGGGTGGAACTTATGATCTTCCTGCTACTTAACACCATCTGCCGGGAGGAGTGGTAAATAGAGATGTGAGTTTTTTCCATCCGAGACCACTTAAACTTAATCTAGACTCTTTGGCAAAGCCTTGGGAAAGTTTCAGAGTTCTTTTCAGAATCACTAGAAATATCAACTTCCTGCAGCCAATCCAGGTCAGAAATCAGATTTCTAAGTCTGGCTTAGAAATGAGAGGAAGAAATTTTTCCAGCAAGGGAGAGGATGCCATCTGGAGACACAGGCAGTGAGTGGGTCTCACCCTACAAACACCCCAGTTTCCAGTGGCACGGGTTACACCTCAGAAATCTCTCCTGGGGCCATGGGAATTAGACTCCGCTCCCCTGCTGCACACCCTTTCTCACTAGGCACAGCTCCAGAGAGCCTTCCTGATTTAGGCCCTCCCTGTGCACCTGTGCTGCTTACATCTGGCGCTGTCACCTGCCGCCCGCTCCCTGGCCACCTTGCACACCGCCTTGTGGACTTTCTTGGACACGGACTGTGTTTCTTCTCTTTATTTACTTTATCTAGGTCAGTGGCTGAGCACAGTGGCGGCCAAGCTACTATGACAAATCAGTGTCACCACATTCACACCTCTCGATCCAGCCCCAGGTTGCCTGATTCCATATCCCCGGGGGGAAACAGGGCAGGGGAGAGGATGTGGAGGGACAGGTGCCAAGTACCAAGTGTTTATCAGATCCCTACAGAGCGAGCACACAAGGTTGGGGAAGCCCAGTGTAACTGGCCGCACATGGAGAGAGAACCCAGACACAGCCGAGCTGGTGGGATGCTAGGATGCCTTTCCTTGTCAACAGTGTCCTATGGGACCCCTATTAGTTTCAGGAGGTGGGAATCAATCGTATCCAAGTAGGCGGATCTGAAAGCCCGGCCCCATTGTAACAAGTGCTGTGAAAGACCCAGGCCACGATTATGGAAAGGTGTAACGGGGAATTCTTTGTTTCTCATGTCAACAGCAAGAAGCCTAGAGGGTGCGAAGCCAGAAGCAAATGAGACACGGGCAGAAAGAAGGTGGCGTATTATACGAATGATCGGAAATCCAGGAGGCCCGAGCCTGCGGAAGGATGGAAGCATCCTGGGGACACTGGAGATACATCAGGCAGGTGAGGGGATGGAGTGGAAACGCTATGACACAGACCCCAAAGTCAGACCAGCTCAGCTCCAGTTGGGGACTGAACCTTCTCTGTGCGGTCTTAGCTAAGTCGCCTGCTCTCTGAACCTCTGTTTCTTTCTCGTTAAGTCAGATCAGCACATGCGCCTTGGCTGAGTTGTTCAATGCATTCAGGAGTATGTTAAAAGCAGTGCCTGGCCCAGGGCTAGGCCACCGTTCGCCTTGGCTTATTCTGCTGAGCCGGGGACAGACACGGTCTGGTTTGGCTTGAACAGATGATCAGCCCTCGTGTGGGCTTCTGGTTGTCAGCAGGACAGAGGTGGGGGGTCCGCTCCACTGGGAATCAGTCCCACCTGCTGTGTCCCTAGCAGTTCTTTCCAGGAAGGGAAGGGAGGGCAGTGCCACCTCTGAAAAGCAGCAGTGTGACTGTCCCTGGAGCAAGACAGGAGGTTGAAGGGTTGGTCACAACTTCCCGATGGGAGCCCGTTGGGTCCCTGCCAGTGGGAGGCCCACCAAAGCCAACCCCAGACTGCTCCAGGTGGCATCCCGCAGCCTGTTTACCAGTGTCAATGTCACTTTGCTGGGATTCTGAGTGCCTCAAGGACAGCAGCCATTCCCCTGCCACTTGCGCTCGCTCTCGGGTAACCAACACAGGCCCACATGCGGGGTCCTGGAAGCTTGTGAATAATTGACTGGAAAAAGGGGGATTTTAGTGCTGCTCCCAGAACTGCAGGACCTTTAAGGAAGCTGGGGGCGGGCAGGGTGGGCGGAGAAGGTCATTTAAGTCGGCTTCCTTCCTCTAAGCACTCTGACAAGACCTTTCTCCATTCCCCGGGGACACGGTGCCAGCCACGTGAGAAACCACACTGGAGATCACAGCTGCTCCAGGGACACGTCTGGACCCCTGGCAGACCCTGCTGCTGCCTTGGGCTGAGGGGACACAGCCCTTTTCTGGACTGAATGAGGGCATAGGATAAAAGCCCTCCGGTCTCCAGTGATGGCTTCAGAGGCATCTTGGGGCTGAGAGCCGCTCAGGGCAGGGAGGGTCCTTTGGAGCCTCCCCCCCCCCCAGTGGTCTCTGCAGACCCCAGCTACCCTGGCCTTTGCACCGGGCTCCCCAGTTAGGGGACAGCCAGCGGGGTGGGAGGAACCAGCTCAGGTTTTCTTCTCTGCACTGTGTCCTGTGCCCAACACAAGCCCCACCACTGTGCTCCCCCTTCTCGTGGACCCCACTTTCCCCCTGTCCCCGGGTCCTGCAGACCTTGCCTTTTCCACAGTCCCTGTCCCCAGCCACTGCTAAACCGCAGTCCCTCTCAGACTCTTCCCCCATCCCTCCCAGCGCCTTGTCCCCTCACAGCCTTGCAGCCCTACACTCCCCGCCCCCACTCCCATCCGCCCCCCCCCCCCCGTGCTCCTCCCTATAACCCTCGCTGCCTTCAGGCTCCTCGCCTAGCCCCCACGCCCCTCTCCTCCAATTATCCTTCCGGACCCCATCCCCCAGCCCTCCGGCCGCTCTTGAGCACATCCTCTGTCCCTCCCTGTCAAACCCTATCACGCCAGGGAGAGGCCACCTCCCCAGGTGTCCCGCGACTGGGACCGCTCACCTGTTGGGCAGGCTGCAGCACCCCCGGTTTCGCCTTCTCTGGGTCGGGCTCGCAGTCCCGCGGCAGCAGTCCCTTCTTGGGGTGCATGTGCCGGCACAAGCAGGTGACCCCGCACAGCGCAAGAATGCTGGTGGCCGTGCCCAGCGTGGCGCCCAGCGCGATCACAGGCACCGAGAGCACCATGGTGGTGCTGGTTCCGCGGGGCTCTTCCCGCCGCCTCCCGCTGCCAGGCTGCTCTCCCGCTGCCGCTGATCCGCGAGCCAGAGGGGCGGGGAGGGAGGCAGCGACCGGGAGGACGTCAGACAGGAGGCTGACCCTGGAGCCGCGTCAGACAGCAACATGTGACCGGACCCCCACCGACAGGAGCCCAGCCTGCCAGGTGGCAGGAGCCTCACCTAGGGTTGTTCTGCCTGCCTGAGGGACAGCTGGGTTCCAGGAGGGCTCAGACCCAGGCCTGTGACTGTACCAGGCTGTTAACCCTCTGTGCACCACTCTCTTTCTCCTCCAGAAAGGGGCTGTTACATCAGTGCCCTCCGAGCTTTGCTAACAGGTAAAGCGGCAGACAGCCCAGCTCACCTGCAGGGAGGCTTCCTACAGGGAGACCAACTCGGGACAATCCAATGTCGTGGTGAACTTCAGTACTTCCATTTGCATCTGTGTCCTGCCTGGGTTCGACCTTGCCGTTCACCTTTCTCATCTCATTTGATCTGCAGAAATTCCCATCCCATGTGTAGAGGAGGGTGCTGGGCTCAGAGGGCACACAGGACAGCTGGAAACACGGTCATGTGGAACCCAACCTCAAGCCTAGGCTCAGAAGGACTCATCTATGGAGGACAGAGAGCATCAGATGCAGCACCTAGGAGTACACACGATTCAGAATAAAAGCATGCTCAGCATTCGGGGAAATTAGAATCACAAGCATGGGGGAGGGGCCGTCTTGGATCAAGACGACAGTGATCACGGTGTTTTCCATTAAGAGCAGAGTCCGATTCAGCAAATATCGGCAAAGCTGGCTGTGCTCCAGGTGAGCTGGACTCTGGTGTGGAGGGCTGTCAGGATTTCACACATGAATTCCCAAGAAACCAGTGAGGGCCCAGTCCACCATCTCTCCAGCTAGCCTCTTCCTGCTGACCTGCAGGTTGAATCTTGCTGGGTGCCCCCATCTAGGTTTTCAGTTATTGATGCCCGAATAAAAACTACCCATGGCTGAGTGGCTTAGAACACTTCCCTACTGACCCTGGCTTTGTGGGTTGGCCAGGCTCAGCTGGGTGGTTTTCAGGGCTACACCTTCTGGGACTGCAGCCATCTGGGGTCCCACTGAGCTGGATGTCCAATGGCTCACTCACGTGGCCAGTCAATAGTGGCCGCTGCAGCAGGAAAAGTGGCAAGACAATTAACACACACTTCAGTTCCCCTCCACTGAGCGTAGCCAGGCAGCAGGAGCGTCATACAGTGTGGTGGCCGGGTTCCAAGAGGCAGGAGGGAAGGCCACCTGTTCTCTTAGGAGCTGGGCTCAGAAGTTCCTCTGATCGGAGCCACAGTCTGCCCCTGATCTTTTCTGTACAGGGTATCAAAAAGGGTGCTTCTGAAATGCAAAACTCATCCTGTCTGTGCATGTGACCTTCCCAGATTCCAGGGAAAAAGTCCGGAAGTAATTTCCATACAAGCCCTCTGTGAGATGATCCCTGTGAGCCTCTCCAGACTCCACCTACTTCCCATTAAGGTCCTGAGCCTCAACTGCTCCCAGCAAGTTACGGTTCATTCAAGGAGCTAACATCTTTAGTGCATTCCAGCTTCACCGATGGGTGCATACAGTGGGGACTAAATGCTGAATGAGTCACATCATGTCATGTAGGAATTGCCGTGGCTTAGAAGGACTCTCATTTGCTATGTGAGCTCCATTTCATTAATTTGACTCTTCCACACATATTGATTTTGTGCCTGCTGTATACCAGGCTTAATTTACCCCCGAGTCCCACTGCTGCCAGCTGTGGAGCTGAACTACCTCAATCCCTGGTGTTAGATTTAGCAGTCTCTCTCATCAGAGCTTCCTGGGAGGTTTTCTTGGCTCCCGGACCTGGCAATCCAAATGTTCTGGGAAAATAAGAGGTTTAATTAATGCAATCAGCTCCAGGTCTCCTAGGCCTGAGCTGCTCCTCTGGGAAGCCCTCAATGCCACCAATTTAAACAGGATCCAGGGCGGGGTGGAAGGAAGGATGAACAACGCTTAATAGCAGGAAATGTCTGATGGAGATCAGACACCTGTCATGTGGTCCATTACTATGGTTACTGGGATGCAAGCAGCTGCAGTGGCCTTCATTTATAACAGGAAGAGGGACCCCAGCCCAGAAGGAAGAGCTTGCACCTCCCCTCTTTCACATGAAAGAGCCAGAAATAGACCCCAGTCAAGCTGAACTCCAGTAGAATCATCAGAATATGGGGAGCCTTTGTGATTCAACCTGACATCCTCACACATCTCATCAAAGAGGTGACTTCGGCTTCTGGCTACTGATGTGTGGATGGTGGCTTTAACGGCAGCTTTCTAAGAAAAGGCACCACTGCCTTTTCTTTAAGAATGAGCCTGTGTCTTCTGAGGAAGGCATTTGACAGAGTCAGCCATGCACAACGATTAGACAGCCTCTGAGGAAGAGGCCTACAGTAATTGGGAACTTTGGGGCCGCCAGGCTCCAAGGGCGGACAAGGTCATGATGCAGGGCTGAGGGAGGAATCCCCAAGAGTCCCCCAGTCTCAGGATGAAATGTCACCCTTGGTATTCTGATCAATATTGTACTTGCTGGCTATTTAAGCACTCTGAGGCATCACTTCGAATTTCTAAAGTCTTAAAATGCTTTTACCCAGGAGAAAGGACTTCAAATACAGTTAAGATTCTCTTAAATACAGGAGTGTATTTCGAGTACTCATCATGGGGCAATCGTGGTTGTGCAGGGCAGTGCAGTTACACTCACCTGCATGGTAGAGGTCAGCCACGCACTGTGGCCTCCGATACAGCTACCACAACACTGATGAGGCTGCTGCCAGTGTGACCGAGCACTCTACAGGACAGCAAGCTTATATTTTGTACACAGAAGGAACACACTCTAAAATCATGATTAAAACTGTATAGCATAGTAAATACAGAAACTGGGAACAGCTCCTGACCAGTATGAGGTACCATACACAACCATATGCACAGTGCTTTTCTATGGCTGGCAGAGCACAAGGTCTGTCTACACAGCACCACTTCACACACAGAAAGACCGCGATGTGCTGTGGGCATCCATGAGCTCCATCGTAGTGTCATGGGCTCACTGTTGTATCCGCTGCCCGTCATTAAGTAAAATATCGCTGCGATGCATTTCACACCTAATAAGATCCTCTTGTTTAGCCAGCATCTCTGGTGTCTGCAGACGGTGCTAAGAGCGAGGAAAACACACAAAGGGAACAGCTGGATTTTAGCATTGGAAAGATCTCAGAGATCATTTTGTAGGATCCTTTCAATTCTAGAGAAACTGCGGCTTGCTTCAAGGGGAGAAGGAATGAATGACAGAGCTGGGCAGGGATTGCAGGTCAAGGGTAGACTAGCTTCTTTTGCAATGACAAATCAGCTCAAAACTTCAGAAATGAGCTCAATAGAAGTGCATCTTCACCATAATTCAACGAGGCACAGGTGACACTTGTACATTTCAAGGGTCAGAGCCATTAACAGGAGCAACATAAACGCAAGAAGACTGGGGACTGTGGGTGCATGAGCGAGGATGGTTTCTACTGCAGAAGCCAAAACTTAGGCCTCGCTGGCTCGTGCATCCCTCTAAGACACTCATTCTTCCCCAGATGTGCGCGTCTACTACCAAGCACTAGGCCCGGGGATGAGCGAAGCCAAGCTGGTCCCTCCCACTGCAGAGAGCTGACATTCCCCTGGGGATGAGGGACAATAATCATCCTTCACCTGTGGAGAGTTTCAACTGTGATACCAGCTCAGAAGCAAAGGTTTATGGCTGGAGTTTAACTTTATTCAGAGACATCAAGGAAGCTTTGCCAGATGTGACAATTAACTGAGGTTTGAAGAATGGAGTCAGCTCTGTGATAAAGAGGACAGTGCGTTCCAGGCTGGACATAGAATGGGCAAAGATCCTGTGACCACATACCACATGGGGCCTGGGCTAGCAGGGAGCTGATTTACTCACTCTCAAAGAGAGGGAGGGGGAGAAAGAGGAGAGAATCTGATTTGTAGCATTTGCTGATTTTCCTGGTGGAGTCTATTCCCATTGTGGTCGATTTCCAGTCACCAGCAAAGCCCTGGTTATTCACCAGTTGGCTCTTGTGAGCGAGGAGGAGCGGGTCACGGCACCCATCAGAAGAAGCTCACCATGTCATGATGCTTGAGTGAGGCACAGAAGAAGACAGGGGACAGGGCTTGTGGACCAAAATGGGAAACCACGAAGCTTCTGAGGCCAGAAGCTGCTCTCAGACCCCCTGGCAGTGTTGAAAATGACTAGGGAGGAGCTGACAGCTGGCATCCAGGGGAGGGTGGCGTAGTTGCCTCCAGACACCTGCAGCTGTGCAGCAGCTGGAACTGCGGACAGCACTCAGAGAGGGCAGGTGCCACTAGGGAAGTTACTTTTCCTCGCTGGTATTGGTCCCAGTTCTGTGTTTTGGCTCTCTCATTGATGCCTTGTGGCTGTCTCTGCTCACTAGAAGTTCCTTGAGCCCAGGGGGATGTGCAGGAGGAAGTGGCCTGGGGTGTGGGGGGATCCTGGGCCCCATACAGCACCCTGTCCATCCCAGTACAGCTGAGCCAGTGGTTGCAGAGAGGACAGCTCAGAGCAGCACAGGCCCAAAGGGGAGGCCACCTGCAGGACTCGTGGGCTGGCTCTGAGCATCTCCCGAACCACATTTTTGGGGATATCTAAAAACACTTTTAATAACTCATAAGGCAAGGAAAACATAAAGAAAATTAAAAAATGTTTTTAAGTGTCAGCACAAATCAAAATGGCAAAGATGAAATTTCATGGATTGTAAGGAAGTTGGTACTTAGAGAAAAATCCACCACTGGGCCACATCTCAAAGCCAGTGATGAATTACCACATGGGCCTTAAGGAGAAAGGTGTTAGGCCTTGGGGCTCTGATTCACAAGTCTAGGTCTGCAGATGGTGTAGAAAATTCTGACATCAAAGCATCACTGTTCTGCCCACTGCAGCTGCCTGCTGTCTTGGTGAAGTTGTTTTATCACCTGGCATTTATTCATGTTCCACCACAGTCTGAAGGACACAGTGAGATTTGCTAAGAGGCACTGGACCTGGTTCTGTTCTGA